CACAATTTTTCTTGTGCAGGGTGATTAACGCCGACGGATGTGGTAGCGGCAGAATCATGTCCGTCTTCAAGCTCTGACTCGACCAGTATTGAGAGGAAGTGTTCCCGGAGGACCTCCATCTTTAAGAGTGCTCTCAGACTACATGTCTCACTGTTTTGCTCCCTTTCGTCATGTGTTACTCCATTTACTCAAAACCTCACATTTTAAATTGCTCTACTTTTGATTTTATACTGGAGCACCCCCTACTCTTTTGACCTGCCCGAGACGCTGCTGAAGAGATGGACCACGAGGGGAGTGTGTGACGTCGGATAAGCGGCGTGAACCTGCGCAACTCCGAATGACTGATCCTCTTATCAGAGTATACGGGCTGCCAACCTTATCCTTTCGTAGACGAAGAACGATAACGAATATATACGATATGCTGTCGAAGCACTGATAGAAGACGATAGCTCATCAGTGCGAGAAACTGGACAGTACCTGGCATCAGCCGCACGTCCTGGGTGGCCCGACCTGTCTTGACCTGACCTTTCTGGCCAAATGAGCTTAGGACCACCCCCGAAATAATTACGGGTATTTGCAATCCGAAGGTACACTCAGGGATCGCGTTGGGCCGCTGAAGCCCGGAGGTTATTCCGCTGCCCCTAGACAACATTAGCAAGGCGGTCACACTTAGTCTCAACTTCGGCATTTTTCATCGTACTAAAAACGGTGCGCTCATAATCTGGGACCCGGCATCTTTTCAAGTAGTTATAAACGATTTGCGTTTAAATCAGGGCATGGTTAGGAACCATCTACAGAGCCTAACTATGAACAATTTGGCTGGATCTGACGGTATTTATTCAGCCATTGTGAAACCATTGGCGGACATCTTACCTCAACCATAGTGTCAGCTATTTATCTAAGCTTATAGGAGTGTATTATCCCACGGGACTGGAAAACAGCCGCCCAGGTAGCCACACACAAAAGCAGGCCCAAGTTAGAAGTAAGCAACCACAGACCGGTAGGTCTGACTAGCATTTTTTTGTAAGATTCTGGAAAGGATCATCAGGGCGCATATCTATAAGCACTTATTGGATCATTCTATCTTGTGCCCTGCTTAGCATAGATTCCTGGAAAAAGGTAGTCTCATCAGTCTCTTGTGCCTCTATCAGTACACCAATTCAGCTTCAAAGCTGTATCTGTGGAACACATTCCACCTTGATACATAATCCTAGACCATTTATTCATCAGGAGAATTATTCTTCACTTCGATGTCGCCTGAGCGATTATGCCAAACTTCGTGGTCTACTTCCCTGCATGCCTATCGGTTTCATAATCGTTTTTACGTGTACTTACCTAGCTGTACATATACGAGTATACATACAGGCTTATACCATCCCTATTATTCCACTTTGCCTATTGATTTGTGACATGCTGTCCCTTCCCTTATCCCTTCTCAGCTGGGTATTACCCCAGACTGTTCAGTATGACTCTTTTGTTCAAGATACGGTTGGCTTGGACCTGTCAAAGGCTTGGGGTTAAAGCCCACAGTGGAAAATTTTGGCCCTGGCAGTGGATGCTGGGCATGGCTGTTTCGACGGTTTTGTCTGCATGCGTCCGCATCCCGGCAAACGTATGAACTCTCTGTACTCCCTCCTATTTATTCATATCTTTGTGACTCCATTTTCTCCGTCTACTGTCCGACATTTTGTTCTCTCCGTATCTAGAGCCGCACTCCGTTTCCACACGATAACGGGGTAACAGTTACTTCAATTTATATTGATATAATTATACAGCACATTCTTCCATCCTCCACACCAACGTTTGTGACCTCGTCTGCTTTGTGTTCCGTTTACACAGCGTTTTCGTTCTGCTCCCCTACCATCTCCAGTATGTACGTCTTCCAAGTATTTTATCTATCTACCTATACTGACGTTGTACATATGATTATTTCGAACATATGATCGTGCCTTGTGCATGCTTCACGGATTTCGTGAAATATACAATATTATTATTATTATTATTAGATGATGTAACTCCCAGGTTGGATGAAGGCCACAGCATACAGGTGTCCTGCCTTGACTTCAGAAAGGCGTTGGAAGATATATAACTAGATATCTGAATTCCTAAGTGGGCGACCTTTCTACGTAAGAGCAGGTATTTCCAGTTCTAGTGTGAACAATATTACTAGTGGAGTACCTCAAGGGGCCGTATTGGTACCCATCTTATTCTGTATGTTTATAAATGACCTAGCCTTAACGCTTTAGTCGACTAGCTTTTTCTTTGCGGACGATGTGAGAGCCGTAGGGTCAAAGGGGCATGGGAATCTAGCCAGGGACATTGTTACAGTCCGAAGTTGATCCTCAAGTGGGACTAGCGACTTAATGCTGGCAAAAGCCACCTGCTTTCATGGGCCGTGGAGGGTATAACAGTTCGCTACGAGGTAGGTCCCTTCACTATGAAGGTGATGTACAATATGAAATACCTAGGAATCTTGGTATTTGCTGACCTTATTTGGTTGGATCAATGTACCGGAGCGGCACAAAAAGCTAAAGGTGGATTATTTAGACTAAGGTCAACGTTTTCGTGCCGTAAACCTGAGGCATTGCGATAATCGGAATAGTACTGAATGTAAGAATACGAGAACCCTATTGTACTGCTCCAATCCGACCTGCGGACACCAATGAAAGGGAATGATAGCACCGAATGTATGTTTATTGGTGGAATTAGAGCATATTTTATAGAAGTTAATAGGCCATATAATTGGTTGAAGGACCGTCGTCCAATCACGTAACCATTTTCTCCGACGCATCATATGCATTAACTCGCATGGCATATTTGCTCGGTGTACCGTTGGCCGATCTTCCTGAAAGATGATTGGATAACATGAAGCTTTCTGTACCTGGTCGCACCTGGATTGCGATCACGCAAGTTTGGATCACTACAGGTATTCATACCTCTGTACAAGGCCCCACATGGAGTATTGTGTTCACACATGATCACTTTTCTTCTAAAGGGGTGAAGCCTATTTAGGGTGCCTTCAACGGCTGGCAACGTGAATGACTGAAAGCCAGTGTGGCAAATACTACAAGCAAATGCTTCAGGACCTGGAACTATTCCCTTTAGAAAAGAGAAGGCTTAGGAGAGATATGATAGAAACATTTCAGGTAATGAAAGCTTTATTGGATGCTAAACTAGAAACCTTATTCCGGGAAGCTCTAGATTCCCGTAAAAAGGGATACGAAATGAAGCTAGCCAAAGCTCGGTCTTGACTGATCGCCCGGTCACACTTCTTCAGCAATAGGGTAGTCAACAACACACATGTTTCTGTTATGCCATTTATTCCAATATACCCTGAAATATGAACGCTCACGTATAACAGTCTCTCGCCTTGGAGGTGAGATGGACTATGTTTCCCTTTTCTTCCTCCCTTCAGCCAGGAAGTAAAGGACTATTTTTGCAGTGGTCGTAGCTATACTCGATCGCATACCACCGAAGGAATTCTGGACTTCCAGTTGGCCGTGGCCCTTTTCTGTACTGTGCAAACTTAACTACCAGGGGTACGAGCGTACATCAACTTGGAGTAGAAAGAAATCATTGTAAAGTAAATCTACCAGCTGGGTTCTTCATAAGCAGGGTAATCCCACTGTGGAAGCGGTGATCAACTGTATTAGTACCGAATCTTTCAAGAGAAAGCTAGGTGAATGCTGGGCAGTAGTATTTCCCGAAGTTGAATGTTGTGAGTTGACGCCAGGTTGAAATTTTTGAGTGCTCACTCCGAAAATTCGTTTTTTGCACCTAAAAGTGGTTTATTTCGAAATAACCCACTGCTTTACCTGCTTTAACTGTTTTACCTGCCCTGAACTCCGTATTCACCTCCGCCTTCACCAGAGACTCTACCTCCACACCCACCAACTTGCCTGTTACCACAACCAACTTTCTAAATACCATCTGCTTTACAGCTAGTGACATTGCTAATCTTCTCTCTGCAACTAGGCCCTCCTCTTACCCTGGACCTGATGGACTACCCCCCAGTGTCA